GGCACTTCCTCAGGTGCTTTTCTGCTAAAATTTTGGACAACTTTCTCCAAACACTCACGATAGTCATGTGATCATTCTTTGCCCTTCTAAAAAGTCAACCAGCAAGCCCTCTTTATAACATTCCCTCCAGATGGTTGCCTTGGCCTTTTCCCTTGACCAGTCCACATTTGCTCTGACTGGACCGTGGTCACCTCTTGGCTGCCATGGCTTTGATTGCACTTTGCTTTCCGGAGTGGACCGGTAGAGCCATGTATCACCTCCTGCTACGATTCTTCAGAGAAAAGCTTCAAACGATTCTACTTGTTTACAGTTTCCATGGAAAGATCTTCTCTTGCGTGTAGCTGATTGGAGGACAAGTTTCGGTACTCAACGAGTAGAAAGCTTGTTCTACTGTAATTTTTAGTCAGAAATGTGCATACAAAAGCAACTGTGATGTCTATGGTGTTGTCTTTTGTTTCTGCTGTTCATTGCTAATATCCAATTAGTACAGGAATAAGATGAACTTTTTCATTGAAAATTGCTACAGTGTCCTGTGATGGGTTTTGTCTTCAACATACTCCCATCCCTTCTTAAAATGCGTTGCCGGTTTGTAAATTGTTGATGTCCTTGGGGCATGGTCTTCATCAACTTTCCATAAAGTATCAGTGATCCCACTGTTCTTCCACCAAAGTCTCACCATGAGCTTGCCATACTTCTTGCTTCAGTTTCAACAGAATTTGTGTTGCTCTAATATGGGCTCCTGTCCAAGTGCCCCAAATGACATCCTGTTCAGTAATGTTATGTAACCAGTTCATATGAGGTTTTTTTTTTTGTGCCAACATTTTTTAAAGCCATGTATTTCTGCCCCCCACAATGCTCAATTTCCATGATTTTTTGAAGGCCCCTCTATATATTTAAAATGGTAGCAGCGAGTGATTCATTCGGCACTGATGACTCAACTAGCAGCTGCCTTTCATACACGTGTTGGAGAACACAGTTGAGTAGAAATGTGTGGTAGTTACATAAGCTGGTGTCAATTTGGGACTTGAGAGGATTAAGAGTGAAGGGGTGGCGTCTAGTCTATTAATTGGGTCATAGCCAATGAGGCCTCTGTGTGGGCCCATGCCTTCTCCTGGGGATTCTGGGAACTCCTGGATTTCCTCCTTGGAGGCAGGAGACACTCTCTCTTGGCCCACTCCCTGAGAGACTCTCAGCTGATAAGACACACGGAGCTATGCTAGACCTCTGGAGCCAGAGAAGCCACGTGGAGACCCCTGCCAGCGCTGAGATGCTTATGAGGTCACTGGATCCACAAGACTTCCCACCCACTGGCCTGTGATCTTCCTGCATTTGGTGTCATTGCATGTGTTTTCTGAGTCAGAAGAGGACTTTATTGATTGGTATTGGACATAGGGGCTAATATCAGACTTATGGACTTGATCTGGACTGGGTTGGGATGTTTTCTCAATCTTCAATTGCTCTTGTATATAAACCTCTTTCTTACACACGAGTCTCTTATGATTTTGTTTCTCTAGTCTACCCAAACTAACACAAAATGAGCCTGAAAGGACACAATCACCTATGTTTCCAAAGAGGATAAGGCAGCATTAATGTGAAATACAAAATACTACTACTCAATTTTAGTAATCAATAACTGAGACCAGGAAAGAGTTAAAACATTCCAAAAAGTCAAACCAAACTCACTTCCACTGAGTCGATGCTGACTCATAGCGAGCTTTAGGACAGGGTAGAACTGCCCCCGTGAATTTCCAAGACTACAGCTGTTTGTGGAAGTAAATAGCCCCATCTATCTCCCTCAGGGCAGCTGGTGGTTTCAAACTGCAGAGCTTTCAGACTGCTGCCCAATGAGTAACCACTACACCACCCAGGGCTCCTGTGATAAAAACATCAGTAGACAAGAAAGCATAAACACAAACAGACAAAACCACCCTGTCTTCTTGTAAGTGAAAGAGTAATAAAATAAAGTAGGCAGGGTAATAAGAAGTGTACATGTGTGTGTGATTTTATGAAAGAGGAAGAAGGGAAGGAGTATGACAGGGAGGGGGTTAGCAGCTGCTTAAGCAAGTCATTTAGATAGTCACCCAGAGGGACAGAGCCTCATTCCACGGAGGCAGAGCGGCTGGCCCCTAAATCCTAGGCAGTACCTAAAAAGGAAAGACGGGGCCATTCTTTCAACAGTTCGGTTTCACCCTTTGGATTCCACATACCAGGTCAACTTCCTTAGCTTCCCTTCTCTTAGCTACATAAAGCATTTCCCTTTCACTCTCCCCACCATAGACTTCAAAACAATTATTTCCCTCAGACTCACCCAAAACAAACACCTTGCCCACCGGATCTTGGGTGCAGTACCTTGAATTTCCTTGGAGTCCCTTTATGGCACAATGAGTCCCATGATTAATGATTTTCTTTACAGACAAGATCTGGAGTCACTGAACCCAAATGAGGGAATATCGCTACATGCAAGTATTCCCACAGCAGGGATAGGATGTTGTTGTAATGCATGACAGTCAGATAAGCGGTTTCTTTTGAGTACTCTGAGGCTCCCCGCCCCCGCCCCCCCATCAATGGGGCAGGATCACTGAGTACTCTGTTAGGGTCTTCTTCATGGAGGGGGAAAAACAAACAAAAAACAATCCACCACTCTAAACACTTAGAAACCAGTTAAAATCATACCATCATACAACCATACTTTAAAAGCCATCGTAAAGGAAAGAATTTTATGAACCGATGACTATTTCCTCAAAGGGGTCAGAAACCTGCTTCCCATCTTCGTATTAAATCACTGCATTTCCTCCATGTGTCCCGTATAGAAGATTACCTTGACTGTAATCCAGCAGCTTTCCGTCCTAGAGTAGAACTCACATCACTTTTCATGCCTGAAAAATGAAATGTCTGTACTGAGACAGTTTAAAATAGATTGACAAGCCTGTATGGCTGAAAAGAAGGCTTGCCCGCCAGAGGATCCACCTTGCTATTGCACTTACCCAAATGGCATTGTTGTGTTCAAACCCTTTCTGGGGACTCTGCATTGGGTACTGCCTTTCCCAGGCCCTGCTTTATAGTTGGATGTTGTTTTTGACAAAACCACCACCACACTTAGTTGCTCACTCAGTGATTCAAAAGAAAGGGTCCATTTTCCAAGGACAAGGATTTTCTACCATTGAGGATTACGAAATGATGTGTAACAGATCCGACAGCCATGCAGCAGGTGGAGGCGTTCCAAACGTGTCCTTGAGCAAGCACATCTTTGGACCATGTGAATCACCTGCTAGTGTGTTCTGGAAAGGGGACCCCATTCATTTGGGGATAGAAGTTAGGGAATGAGTGTTCGAGGGGGAAAAAACAACCAAACAAGAAAACAAAAACTAACTGGATTGGTGTAGAACTTCATACTTAAAAGGTAACACTACAGAGTTCCAGGCGTCATGCTGTTTTCAGTGCAACTGGCTACCTGAAAATGTTATTATTCAACCTTCTGAGAAAATATGTAGCATTTTTATTAAGTTTTCTTTGGAAAACTGACAAACTCTAATGATAATCTGCAACAAAAATTTGTTGGGATAGTTATATTCATTGGAGAGAGAAATAAATTGATCTTGTTCTAAAATGTTTTCTCTCAAGCATCAAAAGAAAATCCACTTAGACATATAACCAAATGTTATTTAATATCTTAAAAAGTAACACAATCCAAAATGGATATTTCACACAATACTACATAAACAAGATGAACACAATATTACCATATGGAGGGACTTTCAAATATAGACTTACAAAAATCCCTGTCCTTTTTTTTCTTTTAAGTTATTATACTAAGCATGACAAGTAATCATCATTTACAATATGGTACACTGACACGATAAAAACCATGTTACAAATGTGCTGTTATAAATCAGTAACATTAGGGAAGACATCTCATGAACTGTAATTATTTCATATGAAATACTATACAATATAAACAGAACATCCATCTTGGATGACCTTTACAGCAACCAGAGACCAAGTAATTTAATTTTTTTTTCAGTGCAAACACGTTTTATTCAAGGCAGTCTTGGCTGCAAAACTCCTTTCTAACATACAGTAAATCCCACTTGCACGTTTTAATTCATCTACCCTAATGCAATAGTCACATTCAGCCATTCAGAGAACGGTACCTGCAGAATTATGACCCCTTTAAAGGTAATGTTTAAATCTCATTCTGTTCTAGAAAGCAGTATGTGTCCACTACTCGAAGGACCCAAGTTTGTAGCCGTCAATACTTACATGAAGGTGACGTTAGGGTGGCTCTCTTCCTAACCCAGCCTGTGTGCACAATACTACACAGGATTCTGCCCTTCCGCTGTGGAAACGCACGGCGGTGTATCTGCATCTCGGTGGGGAAAGAGGCAGGAGGAGGAGGGGAAGGAGCTCTAAGGAAAGGAAGTCGAGCGGCGGCTGAGAGTGGACTTCCGGGTGCATTTCCTGTAGCTGCAGAGGCTGTATAGAGGAGGGGCTCTCAGATCTGGTGCCTCTTTTTGGTGGGAGCAAGGGGTCGGGGCGTCAAGGTCAGCCTTTGGACAGGGAGCCTGGTCAAGCTTCACATCTGCTTCCAGAATCATTGCAGCCTCACGGGGCAAACACCGCCTCCCTCTGTTGGCCTGGTGCTAGGTGCGTTCACATCTGAAGCCAATCATTTGCAATGAAAGCCCTCTACCTGGTAAATATACAGTCATAAGAAGGTTTAGTCCCTTTTGCACCTCGCGGAATTCTGAATCTTGCAAATCATAGGACAATTGTTAAAATGGTGATATGTTGGAGGGCCAACTGGGGGAGAATTTCTCTCTGGGCCGCTGCAGAGACCAACTTCATCAGGGAGACACCGGGGGTCTATGCCGACGCCCACAGGAAATTTCAGAGTGAATTTATACATGTAAATAGATAACCAAATAACTCAAATTTCCAAACCCACTGCCATCAAGTCGATTCTGACTCAGAAACACTATAGGACACGATGGAACTGCCCCTGCCTCCTAGCCCACAACCCATGGGAAAATAGTGACGGTCTCCTTCAGACAGCTGACTTCCTTTCGGATCATCCTTGGCAGAGACGAGTGTGACCTCCTTCCTGCCCATATTTCACTCACTCAAAGGAAGGTGATGTTTTCCACCGCCTTGGGCTTCCTTTTTTGCTGTGTTCTAGCTTCCTCAAGCCCAAACCATGTACACAAGAGTCACTAACAGGCGAGAACTGGTTGCCTTCGGCAAAGGGAGAGGGGAAGGAAGGGAGAGGCAGGAAGCACGTCTGGGTGAATCTTGGGAGGTGCGACCCACTGCTAGCTGGCTGTATGGCTGGCCTGTAGTAGCTGCAGGTGACCCCAATGATTTCAGATCTCCTAACTTGAGAAAAACACTTGGAACTAGATCAGCTCCCTGGGAAATCCAGGTCCTCCAAAGGAGGCTCGGGGAGCGTACTGAATTTCTGTTAGGCCAAGGAGCACGGTGAAGAGTACTTGATAAAGTTTTTAATTAAAATCTGTTTCAGCACCTTCCACTGCCAGGAGCAGTCATGTTCCTGAAAGATGGTATTTTAGCACAGGAATTGGAGAAGCCCAATAAGAAACTGTAAACAAGGGTGTGCGTCTAGATTGACCTCTGCCTGCAATGGCTTCTGGGTGCCTGTGTGCGTCTCCCGCCATCATCTGATACCAGTGATAGGTATCACTGAGGTGCCAAAGGGCAAACACCCTGTAATGTCTGAATGAAGATGGACAAAGGTGTACGGTTGTATTTTGTTCTTTGACTTTATTAGCACACATCAGAAAAATAGCATTGTATTTAGTGATTTGTCATGATGGTCTATCCAACGGAGAGAAAATAGATCATCGATAGCTGCCACTGTATTTCTGGGTAATCGTAAGTAATCCTGCTGATTCTTCAACTCAAGTACGGGTATTACCAATACGCCCTGCTTTGTTCACCGTGAATCTGAATGCCGTGGAAGCACGATGAGATCCCCCAATAAACCGTGCAAAAGTCATTGTCGGTGGCTGTTGATTTTTAATCAAGACCCAAATGTATTGACCATGTTATAAATGGTGAGGCTTTTTTTCTTTAAAAAAAAAAATCACTATTGTACTATAAGTGATATGCCTATAATTTAAGTTAAAAACTTTATTTTCAAGTACACTTTATGGTGATAAGTGGTTTACCCAGGTAGAATTGTACAAAGCTGTGCCGACCTTACAAAGAAACAAGGCGTGCTTCCCTTGTCAATGAACAGGTTTCTTCTCCCTGTGGTAGCTGCAATTTCACTTAAATTTACATTTCAGAAATGCTGGTTGGGAATGAAAAGAAAAAGAAAGAGAAGAGAGATAGAGATTTGGGAACAGCTGGTGTTCAGATCATTGTTACTCCAGATTAACTTCCAATTCCTGCTTCCTGAACTTGAGCTTCGCCACATCAGAAAAGCAGTTGTTTTTGCCCAGCCTGTCCCCTTCTAGCTCTTGGATTGGTTTGTTGTGTGTGTCAAGCCCCGCCCACCCCCTTTCCGTATGCTCATTAAGGTCCCCTGAGATGTGCAAACTATGTAACATGGAATTGTCAGAGGTGTGGAGTACACGGCACAGCTTCTTTAATTCAAGTGGACTGGGGCTCCATGTGGCTGCATTCACGTGAAGGCAGAGAGGCCCAAAGTGCTTCAAAGTCGGCAGTCCCACGTGCCTTGCGCGTCTCCTGTTACTGGAAAACGAGAATTCACACCAGACTTGGACAGGAGCAGAACGCTTACTAAGCTCTGGTTTGCCAGCAGACTCTGCCGGTGAGATCTCCTAGCAGGCGTGGTGGGGTGGGTGGGAGACAAGAATCCTAGACTTCCGTTCATTCATTCGTAACAAAATCAAGCACGCTTTTGCGGGGTAGGGAGGAGAGACAGGGTTACATCTGGAAGCCTAATAAGGGCGCCAAAGCAAACCATAGTCATGAAAAAGAAATCATGAGACCACACTGCAATCTCACAAGCACACACACAACACCATGGCCGAAGGTGAAAGCAAGTTTTCACACTTTGCTTTTTTTTTAACAATACACTTTAACGCATTGCTGCCGTTTTGTTAAATTTATGGAGGTAGTTATATGTAAAAATAAAAATTACCATAAAGTAATATGCTGTATCATAATAATACATAAGTGTGCAAAATGCCGACAGATGTGTTGACCCTTGAAAGTTGAACACTATGCAGAAATTCAACCCAATTCAGTTTTGTAAACCTTTCTGTTGATAAACTCTAAGCGAATACATACAAGATAAGCAGCCCAGTTCACACAAAGCCATCAGTTCCCCGGAGGAGGCGGATGTTAGGGAACTCTTGAAGTGGGCCTGCATGGATTGACTGATCAGTGGGGACCCCAAGGCCGGCCAGCCTGGATTACATTTATAATGCATTTCCTGCTACCTCACCACCCCCATTCAAAAATCCCCAATTTGATTCAGACCAGAATGTTTCTACATGAAACGTCTGCTTACTTTGTATCCTCTTTAAAGCCCATCCCATCTGTGCCAGCCGCTGCTGGTCTAAGAGGGACTTTTCCTTTCGAAAGAAAGCAAAAACAAAATCAAGTACCCTATCGCGTCAGGCAGAGTGTACACATTTTATTTGAATAGCATCTTTTGTAAACCTATTTCTTCTGAAATATTGATATATTTATATTTTAAAGCTTCTCTTAGGGGTAATACTTTCCTTTCCTGTTCACACGGAGTTTATTACCATGGCTACTTCCAGAGGTTCAACAAGAGGCTGATGTATTGTGTCAATGGTTTTAGTATTTATGAACTGATAGTATGATAAAAACTAGAGAGCAGGCTTTTGCAAAAAAAAATAATAATCTGGGCAGAAAAAAACATGTAGTAAGCGTATGGTATACAACTCCCCAAAGAAAGAGATTCTGGAGTCTATGAGGTGTACTATCTATTGTTCTTTCTGGACATATTCAAGGAATGAGACAAACAAGGCATTTTTGAGCATTCCAGGCCTGCCTTGGAGAAAAGATGGCAGGAGCCTGGAACCCGACTTCCTTCAACAGTTAACTAGTGTGGGAGTTACTAGGGAATGTGCTTACATTTGCGGCAAGCACACACACACACACACACACACACACACACAGATATGCTAAACTTTGAGGGTGGGGGTCCAGTTTGACTGTGGGCAACTTCCAAATATCTGCAAAAGCATGAGAGAGTATCCCATTTAAAAAAAAACAAAAAAGATCTCTGACTACATCCTGTGATTGCGTTCTTAAACTGAGTTGTAGTAATTCTGTAATACTGAAGCAGAAGTGTTTCACAAATAGTTTGCCAATTACTTAAATATTTTATATTTATTTTGTGTCACATATGTTCTGCTATATGACTGCAAATGTTCTCGTGACTGTACAAAAAAAAAAAAAGGAAAAGTAAGTAAACAAAAATCACCTTATGTCAGACAGACAATTCACCGGTGTCATATGTAACCCATTGCCAAAAAGAAAAAAACCTTTTCATTCCTATCAGATTGATTCAATTACCCTCATAAAATAAAACAGGGATTTTGAAATATCTCTGTCCCATATAAGGTTGAAAATTGATTATTTGTACCCTTTTACTGTTGAGAGTCGTTTTTATATCCAACATGATATTGCAAACCAAACTAAAAATGTTACCAAACCATCTTGAAATAAGTTCAGCTAATAATACATCTGCCTAAAACTGCCTCTTGAAATTGTTACAAAGTATCTGTAAACATTACTCTGGCATAGTTCTTGTATGCATAATTGTTACCATAATAAATTTCAGGGGAATACAAATTATGATTATACCACATTTGCAGAATGAGCACATTCTGTTGTTAATTACATGGGCACATGTATATTTCTAATCAAAAATTATTTTAAACTTTTCTCTATAGATATCTTCCCAGGAATAAAAGGCCTGCTGTTCAACTCTCCCTAAATTTGCTCTTTCCTATAACCACTAAAAATCATCTCCCACAGCCTAATTTAGGCATTCTATTTAAAACTACATAAAATAGATTTATATCCTTCCATTAGAAAGAATAACGTCCTCAGGCCACACTCTTCATTTGTATCACAAAGAACAATTTGCTTTTTAAACAAACTAATTATTGTATCTGTATAGTAAGATAGGATCATAAGTTTCACAAGGAGGAAATGATCTTCCTTAAATATTTGATTAATACCATTTCACAGTCCACATTACCTCTCCCATCACTTGGGACTGTGACCCAGTTGGTCCACTTGGGAATTCCCTTCCTTCCTTCCTTCCTTCCTTCCTTCCTTCCTTCCTTCCTTCCTTCCTTTGTCCGCTTCAGATGGAGAGGCCTATATTCCTGTTTGTGATCATGGAAGGTTAAGAATCAGACCAGCATCTGTTGCACTTGAACACAACCCCCCACGAACAAACACTGCCAGGACTTCAATCACGACAACTCACAGTGAGAATGCCTGGGGCAGAAACGTTTCACACCCACGGGCTGGGGTCCCTTCTGGTTTGGCATTGGTTTTCCTTTGAGGTGGACCCTTGCCTTTTACATTTTGTGGTGGCTTAGTTAGGTTTTTGTTTAGTTTTGTTTTTGGAAGTGTCCAGGATCAGTTCTGTGGCACCATCTAACCGCAGACTGGGAGCAACCAGCATCTGTGGCATTTTAAAATGGAATTGGCAACGGCATGACATTGAAAATGCAGATTACACTGACAGTGTCTAGACTTTTCTATGTGTGCTCGGCTACAATTAGTGAACAAAGTATACATATCACCCCTACTGCTATTCTGTTGCTAAAGAACAAAGTATACAATCACCCCTACTGCTATTCTGTGAAAAGCAATACTCTGAAATAAAGATTTCTGTGTGTGTGTGTGTTGTTTTGTTTTGCCCTAGCCTACTTAGCAGCACAGTTTAAGTAAACACAAAAACTGTGGTTGAGATGCTTGTCCTTCCAAAGATGTAAACGTCAGTCCCAGTGTCGTAAACGTTGCTGTATCCAACGCGACAGGAGACGAGGCCGAATGACTATCACACACTAGTAACAGAAGCTTGCAAGCAGCTGGAGGGTTTCGGTAATTTCTCGGCGTCGTTGGTGGGCGGGTCCGTGCTCGCTCGGAAGTTGAAGGCGGGGCCGGCTCCACCGTGGGCGGGACTCAAGGCAGGGTTCTGCCTCCGGTTACTTTCAACAATGCTGGAAGTGTTGGAAGCCAGGCTCTCTCGAGTGCTAAAAGAGTAAAAAGGTTTGGTTTTGTTTTTGACATAAACAATTATGGATGGAGCCCCAGAGGAAGAGCCGAGGGTGTAGTTAATGGGTTTCCTCTGTTGGTTCATAATGCCATAGCAATATGCTATCTCCACTTGATTATTCACATATGTTCCTCCAGCATGGGCTCCAGACGTTTTCCCAAGACACGTGACAATCAGCAGCACACTTGCATGAAACAAGAGCTGATCTACAGTTAGCTGTACTTTGAAATGCCTGCCCTCCCCCATCTTTTCATGCCCGTCTTTCCATGCCCGTGGAAGGAAGCAACTGCAAACGTTTTTTGTGACAGAGAGCTGTCACGTCACGTTAGTTTTTAGAAATGAACGATCAAATGCACAGAGAAGCTGTTAGGCTTCCTTTTCGCCTGGAACTTAATCAGCAGAACTACTTTTGAATAAAGTGAGTAATTTAACTCCAGTGATGCCCCTCCTTGTCCTCAAAAAGTCCAAACCAAACTCACTGCCATGGGGCAATTCCAACTCCTACCACCTGACACGGCAAGAAGAGCAGCGCTGTCCCTGTGGGGCCCTAGACTGTAACTCGTCATGGAAGTATAAAGTCCCATCTTTCTCCTGGGGAGCAGGCTGGTGGTTTTGAACTGCTGTCCTTCCTGATCACAGCCGAACATGTAACCACTAGGCCACCAGGGCTCCTCTCATTCTAAATTACTCGCTTTTAACTCTGGTGGACTTCAAGAAAGCCACGGCCATGACATGATCTGCCACTCTGGCAGACACCACATTCTTTGGGAACACTTCATCCTGTTTCAGACTCTAGCACTGTAAAGTACGTCGTGGCAGATAACGAACGTTTCACTTGCCCCACACTCATCTGTGACGTTTATGCTCATTTCCCCCTCTTTCGCAGAAATGGTTTCCTTAATGGAGTCTTAGGAAGTAGGCGTGATTTCAAAGCCTTTTATCGAAATTTTTCTAAGTTAGAAATATTCAAATTTACTTTGTTGTTCTACGTTATTTAAAGCATTTATCATTTCAAATGGAGAGGGCCAAAGATTACCTGGCTGATTGAGGAAGCTGAATGAACGTTGTGTTTAAGGTCCCTGAAATGGTATGAAGGAATTTAACAATGTACACAGATTGAAGAAGCCATAACCATGTCCCAGAGAGCCGCCTGACTAGGCAGCCCTGGTGGCATAATGGGCGTGTGCTGGGCTGTGAGCCCCGAGGTTGGCAGCTAGAAGCCACCACCCACTCCATGGGAGAAAGATGGAGCTTTCTACTCCCATACACATCTACAGTCTCAGAAACTCCCAGGGGAAGTTAGTTCTACCCAGTCTTGTAGGGTCGCTAAGAGTTATCATTGGCTCTCTGAGAGTAGTGAGGAAGCTTTAAGGATTATAAAATAACCTATGAAAGTTGCTCCCATCACCAAGTTAAACCAGCTCAAGTAAGGTAATAGGTCAAACTACTACAGTGAAGGCAAGGTCACTTCCTCCCCTTCCTTCCTGTCCTAAGCTGATAGCGTGAGCAGACCTGCCTACGAAGCCATTTCATCCTAACACCATTGGGCCTGAGCCTGCTGCAAGACTGGCGTGTTGAAAACAGGCTGTTCACCGATGACCTAAAGGAGTAGGTCCCGCACAGTTACAGAGAGCCATCCAGTTCTGCCATGTTGCATCTGCTAAATATGGCACACCAAAGGACAGAAACAAACATTTCCTCACAAAAATGATGAAAACTGCCAGGGTGAACGACTCAGCTGGCTTACCATGAACAGTCGCCAGCAGCTTGCCAGGCGGCAACTGGGGCATGGGATCAGGTTAAGGGGAGGGCAGTGAGATTGTATGACGCATTCATCATGGTTCGGCAACACTTGAGTGTCTCATCTTCGAGATGGGGGTGGTTTTGATTTGTATCTACCTGCGCACAGGGTGACTGTGGACAACAAGTGAGCAGAGGTGAAGAAGTGGCATTTTGCGAAGAGAAGAAGACTGCAGATTATTTCTCCGATACACTTGGCACATCGTGAGTGGAGGCACCACCGTAAATTACCTGGGGGGACTAGAAAAACATCTTTTCTATGGGAAAATCATTTTATGGTCCAGAGGCCCGACTTTCTAACCAGCTTTTGAGGTACAGAATTAGTATGTGTCAGGCCACGTGCTGCAAACACGTAAGAACGAGGGAGCGTTCAAAAGCTCGTGGAAAAATTGCCTGATCTTTTAATGCCACTTTCCTATGGACTTTGTGAAACCCCCTCGTATTGCGAGAGGTCATCTCACTTGGGTGCTCTCTGTGCTGTAAGGTGCTCTGGGCCACCGTGGACCACAGCAATCAAATGAGCAGTGGTGCAGATGCACAATACTCCACTTTCTCAGGGGAGACAGAATGCTTAAACAGTGATGAGACATTGACAACTCTGCACAGCACGATAAAAGAGTTGGTCGCGATGGGAATGCAGGCGGTAGAAGGATTTCTTAATTTTAAAAGTGGTTACTTTATATTTTAAAAGAGAGTTCATGAGTCTAGGACCTTATTGATAGAAGGATTGGGCCCAGTAGCTGCTCTGTTCAACCTTCTACCCACACACGCTTCCTTGGGCACCACACTTCCCTGGCACACACTGTGAAGGCCAGTAAGAAGACACAGCCATGGCGCCCTGTGGTTCTTTTGACTTTCAGGTGGTGTTTATCAATACAGGTTTAGACTCAGGTTTAGAATGCAAGCTTTCTAGGTCAATATATATATTTTAATTCTCCTCTAAACATTGGATCTTATAGAATAGTTCAAGTTCCTAGCTTTTTCCTGTCTCAATATCCTTTAGTCTTCTACCCAGGGGGGCTATGGAATTTTGTGCACTTGGGTGAACATGGCTTCTGAGCCAGCACTGAAATCTTTGAGAGTGGGATCTTTATTATTATTATTATTGGGGTCTTCTGTTTTGGGTGAGTTAATTGCTCAGTGAATATTTACTGAAAGATCAGAATAAACAGCCCCCTTAAGATTCTTGTGTCTCACAGCAATGGAGAGGTGTTGGCAAAATCATTCTATTTGGTTAAAATCCAGTTCATGCTTTTGAGTACAACTTCCTGTAACTTAAAGGCCCCTCCCCCTCCTTTGTAGACCATTCTCTATGACAAAGGCAACTATATTCATTTATAGAGGTGTGCAGAAAATAAGCTTGTCTTCTAACCGAAGGACAGACACCACAATGAGAAGGGGTAAAATGAGGCTCTGTCCTTCAGACTATCTGACTGTACTAAATGCCTGGGTATCTATAGAATTTCTGTAGGAAAATGTTCTATGTAATAGAAGGGAGCAGAGGTGTAGCTATTATGTAAAGGCTATCCCTTTAGAAAGATCTTTACTTTTTACCAAGCCATGTAACATCAAGTACATTGTTAAGAAATAAACATAAGCTCACTGCTGCTTCATGAAATAATCCCAATCATAAATTCTATATTCAACATCCTAAGTTTAATACCAATACATTTAAACATTGGATGGAGAAATTGGTTCAACACTTCCGTGAATATTTCTTCTTATCTGACCAGAACAGAGTTGCTGTTGGTTTTTTTTTTAATATCAATACTATGGGATGGGTATAATTTTCAGTTAGAATCCATTGAACTACTCCCAATATCTTAGCAACAATTTCTGGCATACTTCACCTTTTCCTCTGTGGAAATCCAGAGACCCAGAAGGGTTTGAACCGTGATGGAGAGAAGCAGTAGGCAGGTAGAATCTGCTTAGTAAGAAACAAGAGCATGCAGGTGCAGGCAAATAAACTGATTCTGTCATCAGTGATGGTTCTGAAATATAACCATGTATGGTTACATTCAAGTGTGCTCATCCACTCCACGGAGTTCAAGAGGAATGAAAAATTAGCACAGGAAAAGAGAAAGGGAAAGGCATAGAGCATAAATCAAGATGTGATCTAGGATTTAAAGTCTACTTGGCTGAAAATGATCTCTTAGAAAGTCATTTATGGTTTGGTGGCTCTCAGCTGAGTGCCACGGTTCCCCCAGGTCTCCTCGGGTGGTCCAGGGGCGGGCCGAGCAGACTGGGGCTCTTGGTCTCTCAGAGGACCATCTCTCTGGTCTGCTTGGGACATTACACTTCCACACAAGCATTAATTGGCAAAGAGGGAACATGGCCAAATATAGTAAAACTAATCAAGAAGTAGGTCTCCAAGCAATAACAAAGGCATAATACTGGACAATAAATAGGAGCCCTAGAAGTGGAATAGTTTTGCATTCAGCTGCTACCAGAAGGTTGGTGGTTCAGACCCACCAATCACTCCATGGGAGAATGATATGGTCGTCTACTGCCTTACAGACTACAACCCCCTATGGGGCAGTTCTACTCTGTCTTCCAGGGCCATGAGGAGTCCGAATCGACTCGCTGGCAATGGGTCATACTGAACAGATTAAGGAGTTCCCATCCTGACTAACAATGATCTGTTCCCCAGGTGTTCAGAGATGTGGTAAGATGATCCCAACGGAATTAATTTCAGCTCCTAATCATGAAAAATATCAAATGCCTGATTCTGCATAGCTGTAAAAATTAGGACTATGAAGTCTTGGGAATCACAACTGAAGAAAAATGTGAATAGTTATTTCTGCATCCCAGAGTCACCAATCTGGAGTAGAATTGCTCAGAAGGAGAATGGGGCCCCAAGTTGCTCTTTGAGGGGAAGAAAGAGTTAAAGTGAAAAAAGGAAGCTGTATAGACTCTCATTTGCTTCCTCAGCCCCAGATATACTTCCAGGCACTGGGCATCAACTCTGGCATTACATTCTCTCACCTGCCCACTCCTGGCTGCTGACTGACCACTGCCAGTTGAAAACGGGTCCCTGGCCAGTGCAAACAGCCAGGATATGTTTGTACATATCTGGACTTTTTATCTCCCACCGAGAGGCTGGAGGTTCAGATTCACCCAGAAGCACTTTGGAAGAAATGCCTGGCCATCTACTTCCCCCTACAGAGCACGTTTCTACTCTTGAGGTATGGCCGATGAGGTGACAGCCTATGTTTGTGTTGCACTGAAGAGAAGGGGGGTATTCGAGGGCTTGGGTGCACTGTGTCGATTCTGGAGGAGGCTAGCGGGGAAGTGCTGCTCCGGCCTTGCTCTAAGCAGGCCTGGGCCCCCAGCCTTCTGTGTCGGCAACAAGGTTTCCTTGGCACTGGCAACAGGCAAGCAGGAGAGGGAGGTGTGCAAGGGGGAGGGCTGCACAGAAAGCAGAGATTCAAATGACATTCCGGAAAGATGAGAGATCTGATCATATACTCTGGCTAGAGGAACCCCGTTCTCCTAGAGACAATTAGTCATTGTCCACTCCCTCTCCTTCACTGACTACTCCCTCGGCTCAACAAAGTCACTCTCTTGGAATGTCTTAAAACCACAACCACCATGAGCGTGCTCAGCTACCGAGACCAGGCTAACGGAGGGTGGGGGGAGGGCGCCAACCCACCAGTCCAGATTGGTGATCTCTACAGCTGCAGAAACATTGCTCTCAAGTCCTGAAAAAGAAGTCAGAAACAGGCCGTTAACAACGCCACTCACCCAACGCGTGGCCCTCGCACACAGCACCGAGACTGTGACCGAGTGGCCGTGCTAAGCCCAGGCCCCCGTGGGAGTGTGCGTGTGCGCATGCGTGCGGGTGTGCAGAGCCCCGCCCCTACCGTGGGGAGTTGAATCCGCTGTCCACAGTGATGCTGCTGCTGTCCATGCTGTCGAGCCGCGCCGAGTGGGTGGCTCTCTGGTTGCTGCCGCCGTCGGCCTCTTTCGGGGCCAGGAGGGTGAGGTTCTTCTCAAATTTCCTTTGCAAGTCCCGTTCCTTCTCCCGCTCCAGGAGCCACTGCATGGTGCCGACGTCGTCTCGATTCTTCTCCTCCTCCGTGGCTTTGTTGGCCCCTTCCTCCGAGTCGTCGTCATCAGAGACGTTGTAATAGTCGAAGGAGGCCTCCTGGTTGCCCCCTGACTCCTGCTGGCGCTGGGAAGCCGGCAGGGCCTGGGTGGCCGAGGGGCCCAGGGACGGCTCGAGTTTCTCACATCGGCCTGGCAGTGTGTCGGCAGGTGTCTTCGGGTGAGCTTTGAGGAGGGACAGGCTGGACTTGTGATAGCTGTTGACGGACAGGGTGCTGTGAAGAGGTTTGAAGAGGGTGTCCTTGCTGAATATCTCTTTCCTCTTGTCCAGGCTGCTGGGCTCCGCGCCGTGGTGCTGCAGGACGCGGCCGTTGGCCATCCCTTCGGCCACTGAGCCAGAGGCTGCTGGGCCCCCACCCGGCCCCTTAGGGGACTCCTCCTTGTGCCCCAGAGGTTCCCTGGAGCAGTGGGGGGTCTGCCTGTCGGACGGAGGCAGCTTCTTCACCCCTTCCGCCAGGGTCAGGGTGTCGTGGTCCTCCTTATTCTTCCCCAGAGGCGAGGGAGCTGTGAGCACTGTCTCGCTCGAGGTGTTGCACTGGAAATAGTCATCTGTGGCCGTTTTTGCAGGACAGGAGTTGGGGTCTCCATAGGACGGTAAACTCTCTAGTGCCTTTCCTGGCTCCAGGAGGCTGCAAGCACTGGAAGGGTCCTTGCCGCTGCTGACTATCTCGGGAATGCACACCTCTTTATAGCTCGCGGATGAAAGGTGAGCCCTTGGGTGGCTGGCAGTCTGCGCGGGCCGCAGGGTACTGTCGTCGATGTACGACTGGCTGGGCGTTTGGTCGTCTTGGCTACAGCCTTCCGCCAAGTCCTCGGGGGTGCCGAGAGAAGAAGCACCCAGGGGCCCTTTGGAGTTGTCCATGGACCGGGACCGCTCCTTGGCTTTGCCGGGTCTCTCATTCCTGGACCGCCGGTCCTGGGTATGGCTGTGGCTCCGGTGCACTTTAGAGTGGGAGCTGCCCCGGGAAGGTTCCGGAAAAGGCATCTCGGTTCTCCTTTTGGCCAGCTCGCCAGACACGTCCCATTCTGGCGTCATGGGGAAATGGGACTCGATCACGTTGGCGTTGCCGTGCATGATGAAGTTATCTCCTTTGTGCTCAATGATGAAGCAGCCCTCCCTGGGCACCCTGGTCAGAGGGTCACAGAAGTCAAACTCTCTCCCCCCGGGGAGATCCAGATGGGAACCGTCCGAAGGGTCTCCCTTCGACACGCGCGTCTTGCTGTGCGACCGCGATTTCCCATGGGACTTCCGGTGAGTCCTACTCTTTTTGCTCCGCCCGCTGTGATGGGCAGAAGACCCGGCTTTACTCCGATGGGCTTTTTCTTCCTCAAGTTTCTTCATCAGTGCGGTGTGCCTCATGACATTTTCCACGGTCAGGTCCGGGTTAATGCGCCTGATGATCTCCATTTCCACCTCCCTGGGGATCGTCGTCGGCATGTCCTCGTCCCTCAGGGGCCACTCTTCCGGAGGAAACTGGGCAGAGAAATTGGCCAGCTGTTTGGTCTTGTCCTTCTTAAAACTTAGCCGGAATAACTTGAGGCCAAATTTTTTGGACTGCTTTTCACTGTCTTTAGGCTTCGATAGCGTTTCTGTCTTATAAGAAAAATTTACAGTACTTTTGCTCTTTTCAGTGGGTGGCACCTGGCAGAGGGAGGGGGGGCAGTAAGGGTCCTTGCAGTCCTTGGCAGATTTCCTCTGCAGAGTCGACGCGTGCATGCTATGCATGTCTTCCCTACAGCAATGGCAAGAGTCGCAGTGGTTTCTGGGCAATGTCCTTTCCCTGACACAGCCTGAGGCAGAGGGCGTGATGGTTCCGGGTTGGGGAGAGGTACACTGGGACCTATCAGGTATCCTCTCGTCCAAGTGGTACCATTTACTGTTCGTTCTTATGAGGGACGGCGTTATGAAATAGGTCTGGGGGGTCACGATGAAGTAGCCATCTGCAGTCGGGTAGATCTTGCGCTCCCGCACCAGCGTGTTCAGCGTGTGCCGGAGGATTTCTGGGCTGGGCGTCGGAACACCTGAAACGCACAAACAAACACGCTCATGAAAATGAACGGGCGCAAGTGGCAGATGCGTGACTTTCTGGATCCTGATTCTGTCCAGCTGCAAAGTCTTCCCACATGGCCACGGGGCAGGAGGTGAGCAAGGATGCTCATCCTGATTAGTGCCAACTCGTGTTTTCTCTGACAGCCCTCGGTCTTCAACACCCTACCGAAAACCGAAAACCAAATGCCCTGCCATCGAGTTGATTCTGACTCCGAGGAAGCCTCTATTAGGTTCCAAGACTGTAACTCTTGAAAATGAACGGGCGCAAGTGGCAGATGCGTGA